CTGTTTCCTTTTCTTTTTACGAGTTGGAACAAATTTATCCGTACAATGCTTTATAATCATTTTGAAACGTTGCCATAACTCTTCTACAGATTCTGAGACAGAAGCAAGTTCAAACTCATGAAGGGACAATTCTAGATAATCAAGTATAGACGTGTCATCGGCCCGTGCAAAATTTTTAATCTGAACCGGGTAAATGACCGCTTCTGCGGCTTTGCGTCTAGTTGGATATTAACAGTTATCAGCTTGTGGTCCGATATTCCATCTTCGACCGATAAAGTGCTATGTGTCACTCTGCGTGATGGGAACACTAAATCAAGCAATGTTTCTGAATTAGCAGTTACTCGCGTATTTTCTTTTACAATCTGTGTTAAGTTATGAGAGAACATTATTTCCAACATTTTATCACCACTCAGAGTATCTATATGTCCAGGTGTGACACTTTCCCAATTTATATGCAGTAAATCAAAATCGCCAGTCAGTATCAACCTCGTGTTGCCATTCTGAAATTTGCACAAGAAACTGTTCAGTTGGTCTACGAAATCAGGCGTGGTACCAGGGGGCCTGTAAATTGCTCCGACAATAAAAACCACTTTTTCAACAAATATTTTGCACCAAACCGTTTCGGAGAGGGAGCAATCAATTCTTTCTGTCGTAATAGGCGACATCACAAGAATGGCCACTCCACCACCCCGTGAATCCCTATCCCACCTGTGTACAAGATATCCAGGGGGAATATTACAATCGTCGGGAATTGAAGGGCTCAACCATGTTTAGGTTATGACAGCAATTTGTGGTCTATGTGACAGCAACAAGAATTCGAGTTCTGTGACCTTATTTACAATGCTACGAGCATTTAGTACAAGCAGGCGTAGCTACGATTTTGGTGCAGAAGTGGAAGGGGAAGTGTTTGACGCAGATACGGCATTCGAGCGGGTAGCAGGGGCAGCTCTGCCATCCCTCTTGCCTTTGCTGTTCGAAATCGCACAACGCTCATTCTTGTTCTGATCCCAAGTGTAGAGCTTATCGTTTATTTTGAGCTTATCGTGATTCAGGGAAACCTTCAAACCGCTATCACGCTCAGCAGCCGCACTTTGCCATACCTTCCTCCGTACTTCCACTGTTTCCCTCGCATAGTCATTACTAATACTTATGGAACTTCCCTTGAGCCTCGGAAATTTTTCATCACACGCTCCTTTTCCCGGTAGTCATAGAATCTCATGATGACTGGCCTAACCTTCCCGGGCTGTACCTTTCCCATGCGATGTATTCTCTCGATCGTCCTAACTTCTACATCAAGTTTTTCCATAAATATCTTGTCCACGACCGAAACCATTAAATCAGATTCTGATTCTATACTTTTTTCAGCGAGACCGAATACCAAAATATTGTGTCTCCGGCTTCTGTTTTCGTAGTCTACCAGCCTTTCCGCCTGCTGCCGGACACTAGCTTCCAAAGTATCGATTCTCAGCTTCATTTCATGGATTAAAGCAAGCGAACTGGTTAGCTTATTTGTTTTATCGTTTACTTCAGATATTTGGTCTCTAATAGCATTCAAATCACGTTCGTACTTGGCCTGGTTTTTCAAGATCGTTTGCAAGAGCTCTTGCGTCGTAGCAGGCCCGGGGTTTTCCTCGACGTCTCCCGACATAACAAGCATCATCACAGCAGACCAAGAGTCAACTATAATACAGTAACATCTTCGAGGGCACAGCAGGATCAACAAGCATAAATCATCACTACGACAAGAAGCCATTTCATTGCGGTAACCAACCCGCAAAAGCAGCAGCAGCGGTTTAGCCATGCTGTCCACAGGCCGGGTACCGTGCCCTCTGAGGCGGCTCATGTCTCGTTGCTCCTTATATTCCGTTGCTGCAGGTGACGTCACTCGGGTCGGTAGATTATCGGCATTTCCAGGTTCCAGGATTCCGTGGGGCGGCAGGAAGTATGCATTTACATCGTCGCAGTTCTTCGTCGTATGTGGAATTATACAACATACTTTTCTACTGAACAATATCGCAGTAGGTCATTAACTGATGAGACAATGTTGGGCCCTTGGCCAGACACCAACAGTGCAACTGCGGTCACAAGAGCAGTTATTACCTTTTTAGAAACAACTGGACTATGTGCGCGGCTATAAAATGTGCCTCAGCTAGAAAGAACACTACATACTCACCTCTCTATCTCACCATCATCATCCATTAATCTTTCTTTTCCCCTTTCCCTTCCCCCAGTGTAGAGTAGCAGGCTAGAGCAAGCTATCGCTCAGGCCGACCTCTCTGCCTTTCTGTAAATAAACATACTTCCTTCCTTCCATCCCTACATATATAAAAAACACGCCGCCTATTGATTGGTTATTTTTCATAAACATCACTCTTTCACCAAAATTTTGTACGAGGAACGGATTGTCCAGTTTAAAAATATTTCGGTGCTTCTGAAGGTACCGGTTGAATTTCGAGTGCCAAAGCTCACTCTGACTGACTATGCACATGAAGGGAGTACGAAGTTTATGCGCTTTAGTTGCGAAGAAGACCGAAATGCTTTTTTTTTAGTCTGTGATACCCTTTGCAAACTTATTCAACCCAGATGCTTTCAACAAAAAATCAGCCTTTATTTTACCCTGAGTGCAGCTTGCCTCCATTAAGTGAATTTCTTGTCCAAGCCCTGTGCTGCTTTACACCAAACGTTCCCAATGACATGACCACAAAACCACCCCTCTTATCAGGCATCAACAGGCGAAAGCCACGTTCTCAGCGCTTTCCATAATTCTCAAACCTTTTGATGGGGTCCTTTTTAAATGCGAAGCATGTCTTCGCAAACTTCGGCGAACGTGAGCGTATCTATCTATCTATCTATCTATCTATCTATCTATCTATCTATCTATCTATCTATCTATCTGTCTATCTATCTATCCATCTATCTATCTATCTATCTATCTATCTATCTATCTATCTATCTATCTATCTATCTATCTATCTATCTATCTATCTATCTATCTATCTATCTATCTATCTATCTATCTATCTATCTATCTATCTATCTATCTATCTATCTATCTATCTATCTATCTATCTATCTATCTATCTATCTATCTATCTATTTGCGACTTTCAGCTCTCCTGGTCGTTTTGATAATGGTATCGATACCGGAATTCGTACCGCACAACACGACTATATGGTGAGCATAGGTGAGTATTCATAGCATGAAAATATTCACATGTGTGTCATGAATGTCATGATTCAAGATTTCATGGTCTTGCTGCCCTTGCGGTGGTTGCGTTCACATAGATGTTGCGAAACTGGTATGGTATGACATGGCTGCGTGGGGAACAGGAGTGACAAGCCCTAACGTTTAAATCATGAGATGCATGTCTTGTAAGTCATGACTACGCGCCACGCTTATGATGCGCTCACTGCTGTTTCGCTAGCTTCCCATGTACCAAATTTGGCATAACGGGACGTGAATGGATGACTAAGGTATGTGACTGCTGCAAACATGATAATCGTTAAATGCGCGTCGTCTAACCATATGACATATGACTTATGATGCGCCCATGGCCGTTTTACTAGCATCAAATGTACAAAGTTTGGTATTACTGGACATAAATGGGTATCTAAGTGGTTCACACGTGATAATCAGGAGATGCGTGTCATGTAAGAACCAGACTACATGCCATACTCATGGTGCGCTCGCAGCTGTTTTGCCAGCTTCACATGTACCGAATTTGGTATTACGTGACGAGAATAGATGACGAAGTTATGTCACTGGTGCAAACATAATAATCATGACATGCGTGTCATCTAACAATATGACTACATGTCACGCTCATGGTGCGCTCGCAGTCATTTTGCTAGCTCAACATACACCAAATTTAGCATCACTTGACGTTAATACACGACCATGGTATATGATATGTCCGGAAATGGCAATCATAACTTGAAATTTATGTACGGCATAATTTATGTTCGCTTTGTAACGTTGTGTTGATTTTAAAATCACATATAGGCCTTTTTCATTCGAGCTTCGCATATCATTGATTCCCAGTTTAGATAGGACCTGCCAATTTTTTGTTGTACTTTCGAGGTCATCCAGTTGAGACGGTCCACCTTGTCCAAAAGGCATCTTTGTTTTTCTTCAGACTGTGATAATTTTTGCCGATGTTGACTAGATTCGCATGTTTTATTGATAACCAGAAATTGTTTTCAACGACAGTGGGTTTTTTTTCTCTGCAAGAGCCTTTGAAGCCCTTTGCACATGTGCGTCCTCTTATATTGAGTTTACTTTAAAAATTAATTTGAGTGGGTCATTTTTTCTCGTTTTCATCTGTCAGACGTTGCACCACCTTCTTGTACCACAAATCGTCAGAAAGCTGTTTTTATTCAAGTGTTTGTAAATTACTTCTTAAAAGCAACACCTGATGTCCCCTATCTTTGCTTTGAGCGATAACCAGCTACTGTCATTAGTTGCTTATAAGAAGGAGACGAGTACCGCAAACCATTCTTCATCTTTCTCACTCTACTTAAGCAGTGATTTACTGGCAGCTGTGACCCGCAGGTTCTGCATTCGAGCATACGACGGCAGTCCACGTGTGGCTGTGCATGCATAGCTTGCTCTTCATGTGTATGGAGCAGTTGCTATATGCTCGCACCCGTAAAACACAGTGTGGTTTTCGAAAAAAAACCTGAAAACATTTTATTCAGCCTAACGATGTGCCTGAAAAAAAACTCTTGCAAAATACTGAGGGAAGTTGAAAAAAAAAGCTACTACTTATTTTTGTAGTCATAAATGTCGCAACTGCAAACGAAAGCACATATTTACCTGTGAACACTGTTTCCACGTATTCTCCATTCATTTTATCCTAGGTTTTCTAGCGCATGATAATGTTGCTTATTGGTCTCCAGTGGGTGAAACAAAAAAAAACGCGAATCCACTTTTCATATGCGCCACTGGAAACTCTATTGTTATTGCGTCAAAAAGCATTTTATTGGTCTTTCATTTTTCAGATACGTGGTCGCAATGTGCGGGGACGGAGCCAATGATTGCGGCGTGAGTATTTTTACAATTGTGCATGAAGCACTTCTCCAGTGTCGCATTCCTGGCTGTACTCTTCTTTGGCCCTACACGTTTTACTGTTGCTGTTGTTATAATCCTCCGGTTGTTGTGTGGCTAAATCCGCTGTTGTGTTCTTAATTGTCACTAGTAGAAAACTCCTAAAAATAATTGACGTTTAGGTGGCACCGGCTTTCAGAAGGGTTCAATGTTTTGCAATATCTTCAGCTAAATTGAGCAGAAGGATCTTAATCGGTCCCCTCTTCCCTCTACTCGAACGAAGAATACTAGTGTGGTTCCCCCATTTAAGCCATCGGCAGGGACACTACATCAGAGTTGGTGGAACAAGCGTCTGTCCCCTCTCTGCATCCTCAATGTTCTCCTTCTCATGCTAACAGCGCGATGGCCGCGAAGCTAGTCTGTTTTCTTTTTATTTATTTCACTTTCATGACACCGCTAAGTAAAAGTGGCCAAGTGCATGCACAGAGGACGCGCTCACTTTTGAACACGAAAATATTTTATGCTAGGGTATACTAAGACATTGATGACGTACTTCGGTCACACCGATTTGTCAGAAAAATGTGCGCAATCAGATGGTCAATAAATAAACTAGAAAGAAATGCTCCGCTGACAGCAGCTGAACTCACTGTCTCTAATTTTGCGGTGGTGGCTTGACCTGTTGTCTTACCTTCAAAAACGTGAATGGGAGGGACAGAGGGAAGGTCCGAACATTATGGAGCACTAGAATCATTTTGTGCACTGGCGCACTAGGGGGTTTGTCACGTGGTATCTTTTGTATTTTGTGGGCATTTGTAAGCAGCAGAAAAACACTATTATTTATCTTCGCTTTTCGAAACATTAGTTAAATAAACATATTTAATTAAACAATATTTCAGACCACATAATATAGTCTGACTAGCTCCAGACAATGGTCAGCAACAGGCATTTGATCGCGTCGTAATCGCGTGTGCCGACATATTTTTAACCTCTGGCGAAATTTACGTAGGACATCCTGTATAAACATTATACGCATGTAAAACCTAATCATCGTAACTACCTGAAGTATAGACGTTTGATTTAGCAGTAATGTCAGAAACTCTGATGAAAGTTGCCATGGCCGCCAAATTTTCACCTAATTGATTGATTGATATATGGGTTTGAAATTCCAAAACCACCGTATGTTAGGAGAGACGCCGTAGTGGGGTCTCCAGACATTTTTGAGTTCAAGGTTATGCCCTTCGGTCTTTGCTCGAACCCCGCTACCTTCCAACGCCTTATATGGATACAGTGCTAGTAGGACTGAGGTGGCAGACTTGTCTCGTGTACTTGGACGTCGTCGTCGTGTTCTACTCGAGCTTCGACGAGCATCTCCGGTGCCTTGAAGGTGTACTTCAATGATCAAGACCTCCGGTTTTACCCTGAAGCCAGAAAAGTGCCATTTAGCATACCAGGAGCTCTTGTTCTTGGGCCACGGGATAAGCAAGTCCGCAGTACATTGTCATCCGTGGAAGACAGCCGCCACCACCGCCTTCCTGACGTCAACCGACTACAAGGCTGTGCTTCAATTTCTTCACCTGTGCACCTATTATAGGTGGTTCGTCGAAAACATTGCCTAAATTGCTGAACCAGTCACTAATCTTATCATAATTGATTTCGAGTTCAACTGGAAACGCCACAGAAGGTAGCATTTCAAGAACTAAAATGATGGGTGCAAACACCTCCATTGCTCGCGCATTTCGACGAAGACGCCGATACAGAAATGCACATTGATGCAACCAGCATGGTACTCGGCACCATTCCTGTTCGATAAACAAATGGAGTGGAAAGGATCTTTAGTTATCCTAACCAGTCGTTATCCAAGGCAAAAGCTAATTATTCTACAACAGAAAAAGAGTGTCTTGCCATCATCTAGGCAACGCCGATTTTTCGTCTCTATCTTTTCGGCAGGTCCTTTGAAGTCCGACGTCGAACCACCACTGCCCGACGACCACAATGATGAGTTTTTAGGAGCGATAATGGCCGATGACATCACTGAACGACAGCAAGGCGACCCAGATCAACGAGGCCTAATAGAATAACTTGAGGGCAAGACCATCGTCATTCCGAAGGTATTCAAGTGAGCCCTTGCGTTGTTCTTCCAGCTAAACGGTTTTTAAAAAACACTTCTCACCGCTTCGAGTTAAGTACCTCCTATTGGTGCCTTAATCACTGCAGTCAGAAGTCCTCCAGGCTCTGCATGACAGTCTGATGGCAGGACAGCTCAGTGTTTCCCAAACAATCGCGAGAATACAACAAAAATACTGCTGGCCAGGCTTCATGGCCTACGTCACTCGCTAGGTGAGGACATGCGGGACTCTCAGAGACACAAGACACGGCCGACAAGGCCTGCGGGACTTCTCAAGCCCATCAAACCGCTTCGCCGACTATTCCAGCGAATCGGTATGGACCTACTTCAAGCAACCTCAGCTGTTGGAAACAAGTGGATCGTCGTAGCTACTGACTGGCTCACCCACTGCGCTGAAACAAAGGCCCTGCCCAAACGCAACGCTGCCGAGGTAACAAAGTTTTTTGTTGAGGACATCGGCCTGTGCTATGGTGCCTCAGAGTTCTTGATGGCGGACAGAGGAACGCCATTTACAACCGAGCTAGCTCAGGCAATACTGAGATAGAGCCACACCATGCCACCGCCGGGCTACCGCAGGGGCTTTTTCACACTTTTTGTTGCAAGCACCGCGTCTGATGTAATTTGACCTTGTTTCAACACTCAAATGATAGCTCTAGCCACCCCAATGCAGTATTCGTTAACACAAGAGACAATGCGTTAGACGAGTGATAGTGATGCACGTCAGTTAAATGTCTTATTTATTTTGTTTGTATGGACAGATAACAAAAGATAGAGAACACGCTCACAACTGCCACCTATAGGGGCACAACGCCGGCCTGCTTCTTCACGAAAGCAAGTATATAGAGAAGAAGAAGGCAGAGAAAAAAGGAGGGAAACGAGGCAAGAAGAAGAGCACACAAACATACGTAAAAAGAAGTTGTCACACAAAAAACGTGTAAAAGCATGAGACCAAGTCGGTTAGCTTTAAGGAAGTTACCAGGCTCAATGGGCCCGGCACGGCCGCTCGATTTTCCCCTTTGGTGCAGCTTGCCGAGTTGTTTGCCGAACAAAAGATCTTATGTGAAAGGGAAGGTTGCATGAGTAGCCACAACTTGGAGTGAGGGCACTGACCATCAGCTAAATAACCAATCTTGCACTGGCTTGGATCGCGTTCTGCTCTGGTGTAATCTCACTCATTCTGCCTGTTTTGTGACGGTCGTATCCTGCCGTCGTTTGGTCAGCGTGCGATGCTCTTTCGTTCTTCCATAGCGCTGGTATGAAGAAGCTATTCCTGGATAGCTAGGTGTAGTTCTTAGCATCTGGGTAGAAATTAAACTCAGACTATTTTGGAAACCACATTCATGCAAAGTTTTCAGTTAGTCACATTTTGCAACGTTTGAGTGATGAATTGTCTATATGTGACAACTTAAGAAGAAGGTTTGCTTATTACAGTCTCATTCAAATTATATCTACAAATAGGTAGCACGAATAGATACGCACGTCACTACACGCAAAAAAGATGCTCAGTATATCTTTGAATAAGGAATTATTACTTATCATTGTGTGGTTCACGATATATCCAGATATATGTTGTGGAAATAAATGCGTCCCGACGCACCAGAAAATACGCACAGTATGTCTTTATAAATAAAACGCACATCAAGCTTGGCTATTTTTTTCGACACTGAATTTAGAGCCACTACAATTTAATTATTCCCATCAACGTTAATATTTCAATGTCGAGTTGCCATATTAGCAAAATCAAGATGAGCGTATTGTGATTCCTTAATTGTTTCAATCGGACAGCCAACCCCCCCCCCCCGCGCATCTAACAAAGCACATGTACGAAAAACCTTGTACGACTAAATAAACAATTGTCGGGCTGAATAGTTGCGCATAAATGCACGGCTTTCACCTATTACCGCAAGCCACCAGCCCTGGTGGATACCGGGTGTACGGGGTTTTACCGCCCCCCCCCCCCCCGTGACAGCTTTTTTCTGCCATGGCATAGAGAGCGAAAAATTATCATTGCAAGAGAATAACCTCCCTGAAATCAAACCTTCCCCCCACTCATTCCGAAAAAAATTCTGGCTACGCGCCTGCCGCAGGCGCACAAGATATTGCTTCACTTCATGCAGAACCCCGGTGTAATGGCGTACAAAAGCGCATGTGAAGTTTTCTTTTTTTTCTTTTTGAGAGAATTTGAGAAAAAGTTGTTTTTTTGTTACTGAGAATATTGTTAGGCTTGCTCCAATAATTTTTTCACCAGCGTGCCCATGTCTCCAAAATACCTCAGAGTATACATATGTAGCCCACTATTATCCGTATCCAATGGTAAATTTAGATTTCACTGGGCTTGAATTAGTCTGTAACAAGTAAATCGCAGCGACTGAACAATATATGTACATTAAAACTCTTCGTTCTTGATCATATGTGAGGTCTTATGTCCCAAAACCACTATATGATTATGAGGAATGCCGTAATGGAGGGCTCCGGAAATTTCCACTTCTTATCGTTCGTTAATGAGCATTGACATTGTGCAGCACACAAGCCTTAAGCATTTTAGCCTCCATCGAAATGCCATGGCCGGGATCGAAGCCACGACTTTGGCATCAATGGCTAAGCACTCTAGCCACCGTTTCACTGAGGTGGCCGTTTCTAATAAGAATAATGTTGTCTGAGATTTTGAATGCAAAAACCACAATATTATTATGAGCTACGCAGAAGTAGATGCATGGCTAAGATATTTTCAACCATCTGAAGTTCCTTAACCTGCAGTGACATCGCATAGTAGACGGGCTTCAGCAGCGCGGCCGGGATAGCCTTGTTTCCTGCTTTCTTCGTATTTCATGCTCTATTATGTGTCACTCAGTCATCGACCACTCATTCAGCT